CACCGCCAAGCACGTGGTAAATCAGCACTTAAAATTGCAATTAACAATTTCATTGGTGCCGGCGGGGATCGAACTCGGGTTACTCGCGTTCTGTTATATTTACAGCGAGCGTTAACCATCTGAGCTACCACGGCTCACTACTACAACTTCAACCCACACATGACAGCAATACTCCAAGCACGAATGAACTTGCGCTATAATACAATGTGATAATATATCGACGTGAAGTACCACCGCACCTCTGCTAGGATATCTAACTACATTGTAGTTGTTTTAGTCCTAGACTCAATGAATGGCACAAAGTTCAGGTTCAAGCAAATCTAAAACCCCAGCAGCAGAAAGCGGCCGATATATTATTTCAGATTAAAAACATCTTTCAGTTCAGAGATAATTGTGAAAAGGAGCCAATACGCGCGGGCTCGTTTTTGAGGTGAAGAAACATGGCAAGAGCAAAATCGTGTTTTTTTTTATTTTTTTTCTTTTTATACTTGCTATTATAAACTCAAGAGTTAAAGGTTAAATCCAAAAACAGATTTTTTTTTATTTCTATAGGATAGGGTGACAAACGAGCACACAGTCCACCTGATGGTAAGTGGTTACCTATAGACATCTATCCTCGATTACGAATCAAAATGCAGGTGCGTTGTCACCCGTGAGGACTAAGATGGAATGTCTCGTTTCCAGTAAAAAGGGTCTCCGGTTTTCTACACTCACCATACGAAACACAGCAACATTAAGCTATTATTTGACGCAGGTATTCAGTGAGAATTTTTTTTTTATGCGTGGTCCCTCCCCGGTCGAGCCGACCCATTCACGCTACAACTACTATACTACTATTATAACTGCAGCATGGCTCTACCATGTATATGTGTATGTAAAGGTGAACGATATGAACAATATAATAATATGTAAGAATATTATTATACCAAAAAAGAAGCAGTGTTACTCGATCGTCCCGTATTATTAGCTATGTTGTAGGGACCGCACACAATAATCATACTGTTCGTGAAATAGCAAAGAATAGATCGCGTTTAATGTAGGGGCTGCTTTGTAAAAATACCCTCCTCCCATACGATCCCTTTGACAGTACTCCCAATACCATAGCTTAAACAGGGAGGTATTAAAAGTAAGTAAAATTATTTCACTATTAGTAGTAAGATATTTATTATTCTGATTAAAGTTTATAATTTAAATTATTAGCAGACATTTCTTTTAAAAACAACATCATCATCATCATCATCATTACAGCCCTTCACAAGTCCACTGCTGAACATAGGCCTCCCCCAAGTAATGCCATAAAGCACGGTCCTGAGCCACCTGCATCCATCGACTTCCTGCGTATCTTACCAAGTCGTCACTCCATCTAGTGGGGGGTCGCTCTACACTACGCCTACCGGTACGAGGCTGCCACTCAAGAACCTTGCTATATGGCCGCCCATTGCCACTTCACTTAATAATCCTGGGCTATGTCGGTCACTCTGGTTTTACAGCGGATATCCTCATTTCTGAGTCTATCACGCAGAGAAACTCCGAGCATAGCCCTCTCCATAGCTCGCTGAGCGACCTTGAGCGTCCTCATACGGCCAGCAGTGAAGGACCACGTCTCAGATCCGTATGTCATCACTGGCAACACGCACTGGTTGTACAATCTAGTTTTTAGAGATTGAGGTATACCTGACGAGAAGATATGTCGTAATTTCCCGAACGCTGCCCAGGCGAGTTGAATCCGTCGATTGACCTCTCGGTCGAAAAAACAACATAATATTGTGTTATTCAATCATGCCTCGGCTTACATTCTGAGCAAACCGATATTCAATTCTATACTAGTTATAAAATTCACTTCTTTTCAGTCTTACTTCCATTTCAACAATTTTCACATTTATGCATGGAATTACTATAACATATTATCAAATTTATCTATCAATAAATACTACTGATTGCGTACGTATTATTTTATTTCGATAGTTTTTATTGATTTATTTATTTAGTTTAAAAAATTTATTGTTATTTTTTAGTATCTACCGAAAGTTTATTTCAAATTATTATTAGTATTTCTTGATAGATCAATTTCATAATATGTTAATGTAAAATTATAAAATATAAGTGCATAGCTTCATTCCGTCACCTGTTACACCCTATTTTTTTCCAGACGGTAAAAAAACACCCAGTATACACCACTGACTGACTGATTCATCCCTAAATCTCTAAAACTATACACCCTATTGACTTTAAATTTAGTATAGTTACTCATTTCGCAATGAAGACGCTCACTAAGAACGGATTTTACGATAGTCCTATAAAAAAAAACGACGGGTTGCACACCGGGAGTGCAGGCAGAAGTGAAAACTCGAATATTAACGTTGTGCATTTTTGATATTTTGGAATGGTTAGGGAATAATTTTGCACGAATTGCTTTAATTATCAGTATAAAAGTACTATCATTTATGTGTTAGAATACAATATTTATTTGTTGCGCTATCGTACAAAAACATGACAATTTATATTACATTCGCGCAGGCGCCCTGCGCCGCCACCCTTAATCTGCCTTAGTTAGGCAGTCGTCTAAGCGGCTTTTCGCCGCTTGCGCCCTCCTTTCTGCCAAGGAGGGTCGCGTTCGTATACGGCTTAGAGATCTCTCGTCAGATCGGTAAGCCAATCCATAAAGTCGGTGTTTAGTGGGTAAAAGTCTTCACATAACCACGCAGCCGGCTGCGTGGTATGCTATGAGCATTCACCGCCTCCCTCCCCCTCTTTCCGTAGAGTTGCCCATATTTGCTTCGGGCGCAAAAAAAAAAAACCTGCGCCGCCTAAACGAAAAAGCAGGCGCAGGCATACATTTTCGCCGCGCCGTAGAAAGAGAGGGGGATACTTCCTCTCCTACGCCGCGCCGGCTGTCTCTCTCTCTCTCTCCATTCATTTTACGAATTTACGATCAGGGTCACGTGTCCTGACGCAAGTTTAACATTTTTTACCCATTACAAAATAAGTGTACAACGCCGCTAAAGAAGTTTTCACTTCAAAAATTAATAGGTTCGGCAATGAAATATTGTCGTGCGCCCCGCGAAGCGAGCGGGTATTTTTAAATAACGGACAGAGGACAGTATATTTTGGATATTAAGAGCGTATTTATATATTTTTCCCCAAACCCTTCCCTGTGCACATCAAGCAATAAAAGCTTGTAACTCAGTATGGAAAATAGCGCCATATGTCGAGGGAGTTTAGGAATATGTAGGGAATTTGTCAATTTAGCATAATACAATATCGATATGCATACGACACACTGATACAGTTCCAAAAAGTAAAAGGCAACCAGATGTATCATTCCTTTTTTAACTAGCTGTTATATCTGTCTATAAAAAAGACTATTTTTTTATAGACAGATATAACCAGCTAGCTAGCTTTAGCAAAAGAAATTTCCCTATCGATTCGTTCTGTCAACTTGCATTCTCCAACATTTTTAGTAACTTTACACCTCACAAAGCATTAGGTATTTTTGAATGTCATAAAATATAAATTAACTTTACGCCCAATAAATAAATTGTATAAACTGCAATACATAGTTTTTAATAGGAAGAGTTTTGTGGGGGAAAATTCAACTATATTATCAAAATAGTTGTAATGATTTTTTATTGTAGTTTGAAGAGCACAAATAGTGAATGAATGTTTTATATTTACATATTTATTTACTTATACTTTATTTAAACTTAACCTCTTAAGGGGAAATATAACCTCAAATGGCTTAGCAAGATCCTCCGTTATGCCGAAAGTATTGCAGTATTAATTTTGAAATAAATATATGGTAAAGTTGAGGATTAATGTTAAGGTTTATGTTAGACGAAAACACGATTCCGTAAAATTTTCTCGATAGAAAAAAAATCCAAAGTTACCTCCAAACTGAACAATAAACCGCTGTTATTCATAAAATACTTTAAATAAGATCATGAAACTTTGCATACTAACTGAACTAACCATAAAGCAGTGCTTATGTTATTTACTTTTTTTAAAATATCATTATTTTCACTGTAAAAAGAAATTACCTAAACTATCGGCGCGTAAGCTTGGTTCCTGTCGCTCCGTTAGTATTGCTCCGGCTTTTGAAGGGAGAAGTTGTGTCGCTTACGATCAGAAAACACATTACGTAACAGGAAGATGTAAAATTAAAATGGGAAATAACCGTTATAAAAATAAGAAGCGACTGGGTTGGCGTTAAGAAACAGGCATATATATGATAAACATAATGAAATAAGTATCTAACGACCTATCTACTTAGAGTATTAGTGATTACAAACATGTCTGTACATAGCATACGACGCGCGGGGAAGTGGGGGCGAAATTAGAATTTGAGCTGACTTACTCTCACCTCTTAAGGCGTTCCTTACCAATCAACGTATATTGTAATTCCTTCGTTTCTGTAGACGTAACTAATTCTAAGATATTCATATTGTACGTAGGTATATCGTCGACAGATTGTACAATCAGGCAGATCAAAGATGTGCGTTCTACCTAAATAATCCCCATTTCTTGAAAGAGCTAAGGGAGAGCATTGACTTTTGGACGATTTGGCGGACTACGTTTATTCATTCCAATATGAGATCAGATCAGAGCAAAAATAGCATAATATCAGCATAATAATAGCATCATTTCTATTGATCATCATCATTACAGCCTATAAAAAGTCCATCGCTAGACTTAGGCCTCCTATAGATTGTCTCAAAGGGGATAATTGCCATAGCTGTTTGCCATAGTTGCCATGCTTGGTACCACAATTTTTATTTCTAAATGTTATTACGATGACGCTGCCGCTTGTCTCGGTTTGTTACTTCTTACGACATTCACAGAACGATATGGGATAGTGGATATTCTTATATCGCCACTACAAAGTTAGAGATATTGATTTGTAGAGAAATAAAGAAAATTTCAATTATTGAAACATAATTGCAGTAACTATTGGATTGATGCATTCTCGTGTATGGGAAATATGGCAATGTTTTACAATTTACCTGTTAAACGCGTAGATGTCTTCTATATTATTGAACAACTCCGAAAGCTCCTCTTCGGAGAAAGTCGCATCGCGTCTCCACACGTGCAAATAACCCTGTAACGAATAATATATCTTGTTATTTTTTTATTACACACATAAATGTGTTATGTTTTCCCCATGTTATCTTTTTTGAAGTGAAAACTTCTTTAGCGGCGTTGTACACTTTTTTGTAATGGGTAAAAAATGTTAAACTCGCGTCAGGACACGTGACCTGATCGAAAATTCGTAAGACGGATGGAGAGTAGGAGAGGAAGTATCCCCCTCTCTTTCTACGGCGCGGCGAAAATGTGTGCCTGCGCCTGCTGTTTCGTTTAGGCGGCGCAGGGCGCTTGCGCGAATGTAATATAATTTTTTTATAAAAACGTAAAGTGCCCTAAAACTAGGACTTTCTACTGTATCGTAGAGGCAGTTTTTATACATAATTTACGTATTACATGCTACAAATATCCAGACCCGAAACAATTATATTATGTCAGCAATACAAATACTTGTTCCGTGCGGGATTCGAATCCGCGGCCGTCAACGCTGAAAACTCAACGCTAAGCCGCTGATAATTAACTGTCATGTGCATGTTCATCATTATAATTACCATCATCATTATAGCTCTTCACGACTAAGTCCCCTCCCCCCCATTAGAATGACGAAGCTGGTAACACATGCAGGAAGTCGATGGAAGCAGATAGCTCAGTACCGTGCTTTGTGGCATTTCTTGGGGGAACATAGGCCACGTTCCCGTGTACGCCAGAGTCGTCAGATTATAAATATCCAGACCGGAAGCAACCAGTATTTTATCGCGTCTGCCTTATATGAAAGAATTTAGTTTTTATTAAAAGTACCACAAGATATTGTAAAATATTTCAAAAACATTGATGTGAAAAAGCCGCTGATTTATGGAGGATTTCCGTTTTCAGCTGATGCATCTGTAATAGGTACAAAATTGCACCTCATCCTGGTGTTATTCTAAAAATAATATCGAATCCGGTATGTTGCCCGATTTAATGAACCTTAGCAAAGTCATACTCATACCCTTATTTTAATATAATTTTAGACCTATTTTAGTACTGCTAACACTCAATATACTTACTTAAAAAAAATAATTTTGGATCAAATGTTAAGGTTTTTAATCAGTTTTTCACGTGGAGAACCACGCTTCAGCTACATATAGTTGTTGAACGAATTGTTCGACACGACCAGAAAAAGACTACCCTCTCACAAAATACCACCGTTAAATAGCAGCTTGCAACTGCAGTGTTTCCTATGGTGAGTGCAGTAAACCGGAGACCCTTTTTTACTGGAAACGAGGCATTCCATCTTAGTCCTCAGGGTTGACAACACATCTACATTCTCTGATACTAATCGAGGATAGACATCGAGGACAGACGTCTATGGCTACAGTATCCACTTACGATCAGGTGGATTGTGTGTGGTCGTTTGTCAGTTTTATTATGTAAAAAACTTAAAAAAGAGTACATACTTTGTTACTGATTATTAAGTAACTGAATTTGAATTATAAACACGCCAGAAAATGTGTTTATCTTGAAACAGATATATGTTCGCTCTGCATTTAATGTGAGTGCTTCTAAATATAAACGGCTTTAAGTAGTCTACTATGGACGTTTACGTAAGTCATTATTGTAATGGAAATAACTTAGACGGTGCTCAAATCGTAGGTCACGCTCCAAGTTTAAACTCATGCTGCGAGTTCGGTGAAAGAGCGTTGAAGGATATTAACAAAAAAATTCCGTATCCAATCCGAAGTCAAATTTCTTTTGCATGATCAACCACGGTCTATATAGATAACGTAGTGTAAAATATGCCTAATGCTGCTGTATTTCGTATGGTGAGTGTAGAGAACCGGAGACCCTTTTTACTGTAAACGAGGCATTCCATCTTAGTCCTCACGGGTGACAACGCATCTGCATTTTGATTTATAACCAGGATAGATGTAGATGTCTGTGGGCCACAGTATCCATTTACCATCAAATGGACTGCATGCTTGTTTATCACCTTTAACCTATAAAAAAATTATAGACAGGTGACATATGAACATATAGTCTACCTAATAGTAATAACAATAATAATGTACTCCAGACCAAATTTCGTTGAATTAACAAAATTAAATCCAAACCCGAGCATACCACTGTAAAACTTCAAGATACTGTAAGCTCGTTCTACATAGATCGGACCAAAAACTAATAATTAAAAATTGAAAGTAGCCGGGCTAACTATGACATCAGTACGACAAACATTTCAGTTCCACCCGTGAACACGGGTGCTGTAAAGCACCCGAAACTGCGGGAATTAAAAACAAGTTAATTAAATATATAATAGTTTTATTCAAAACGAGCCCTCAGTCCACCTGATAGTAAGTGGACGCTGTGGCCCATAGACATACACATGTATCCTCGATTTAAAATTAAAATGCAGTCATCCCTAAGGACTAAGATGGAATGGCTCGCTTCCAGTAAAAAGGATCTCCGGAACTTCACACTCACCTTAATATACCTTGCTGATATTCTGTGAGAGTGGGGTCATACCCCGGTCGAACCATTCTTGCTACAACCATAATATAACTGAAGTGTGGCTCTACACCAGCGCCGGAAAAACCACAAACTACAGGTTAAGGGGAATATTAGATTTTATAGCATTGTTAATATTCTTTTTATAAAAAAATAAAAAAAATTAAAACGTAAAATGTTATATGTATAGCCGATTAAGTTATGAATAGCCCACTACTACTACAGGGCTAGTAGACCTAAGTTTAATCACGTGCTTGTGAAGACCAGCACAAGATCCTAGAATTCCCTTAAGGATTTTGTAGTTTTATTTGGTTTACTTTGGTGTCAAACTGTGATCGTTATTTACTACTACCGCTTACACTATAAGGTTATAGAAAACTGAAGGTATATAAACCACGAAATAGATTATTCATCTCGATGCCCGCCGGATAGCGCTTCTGGTGCGTGCCATTCGGAGGAGAAAGTCGATAAGTTGATAACAGAATCACGAAGTCTCCCTTATTTAGTGCATTAACGGATGAAAATGGACGATGCGACCTCTCAAAATGGCGTTCTTTGTTTAAATAACCTATAAAACATTTTAACGTTTGTAGTTTAGTAGATGGTATGATAGTCACTAGAAACATAATTTTTAATTAAGATAGGAGATATAGTGTGTTGGCAGCTTTAGAGAATTTAACAAAACATCGTCGTAAGAGACGAATATGGGAAACGATACAAAAATCTTATGGCATTTGACAGGTCTTTTTTATAGAATAAGGGTGACAAACGAGCACACAGTCCACCTGATGGTATGGATGCTGTGGCCTATAGACATCTACATTTATCTTCAATTAAGAATCAAAATGCAGATGTGTTGCCAGCCCTGAGGCCTGAGATGGAATGCATCGTTTCCAGTAAAAAGGGTTTCCGGTTTGCTACACTCACCATACGAAACCCAGCAGCACTAAGCTGCTACTTTACGCTGGTATTCTGTGAGAGCGTGGTCCTATCCCAGCCGAGCCGACCCAATCGTGCTGCAACCACAATACAGCTGCAGCGTGGCTCTACCACGTAAAAACCATAACGGGAACATACAACAAAAATTACGTGGTAGAGCTACGATAAAGCTCTACTATGGTAGCACGAATGGGCCGACTGGACCGGGGTAGAACCACGCTCTCAGAGAATACCAGCGAGAAATAGCTCAATGCTGCTGTGTTCTATATGGTGAGTGCTGAGAACAGGAAACAGTTTTCACTGGAAACGAATCATTCAATCTAAGTACTCAGGGGTGGACAACGCATCTGCATTTTGATTCTTAATGGAAGATAAATATAAATGTCTATGGGCCACATCTACTTGCCATCAGGGGAATTGTGCGCTCATTTGTCACCCCAATTCTATAAAAAACCATCACGTGTAAGTGAGATCTCATATTACTCGAACCAACGAAGGGCAACATACCAAAGGTGCAATACGCCGTACGGCAATCGCTCTGGTAGACGAATTAGCAAATCTGGAGGTGGCGCGTTCGAATCCCGCATAGAAAAAGTATTATTTATGGCCTACATCACCAATGAAATTGTTAATTGCAATTTTAAGTGCTGATATACCACGTGCTCGGCGGTATAGGAAAACATCGTGAGGAAACCTGCATGTCTGAGGAATAAGAAAAAAAATATTTCGAAGACATGTGAAGTTCGCCAACACGCATTGGGGCAGCGCGGCGGACAATTTCTTGCCCTAAAACCCTCTCAGAAATGAGGGAGGCCTGTGCCCAGCAGTGGGAAGTATATAGGCTGTAACTTTACTTTATGGCCTACATATAATTCATCACCATAGCAGCAGCCTCTTCCAATAACAGCTAAATAAAAAAAAACTGCGGCTTCCAACTCGCCTGCTAATGACAAATATGAGCTATGAGGCAATCTATATTATTTAGTTAATTATATGTTTATATCTCCTCACAAATACCGACCTTACATAATATAAACTTATATCTATGTATGTTCATAGTCATAGCCTAGAATCTATGAAGAGCTAGTGTTTGAGATAGGCAATAAAATGCCTGTACCTATTGCAAATCACCAGGCCTCCAGACCACAAGATATAAACAAGAGCATTATATGTAATTGAGCGTTACAGATATCGTTTACGATAACTTTAAATGATTTTTTTATAGATCCACCAACATTTGTATCATTCCTTACATGCTAATTAAATACAATGAAGCGATAAGAACTAAGATGTACAAATAATTACAGGCGGATACAACATGCAAATAACTTTCGCAGCACTGTGTACCCATATTTCTAGTATAAAGCCCCTTTTAATATATCAATGGGATAAAGAGAGATTTAAAAAAAATTATAACGAAATACAGTACTAAAATATATAGAAGCGAAAAGGAAAGAACATATTTTATAGAATATTACAAAAGATGGTCTCTTAAGGTGAGACGGAGCTTGTTAGGAGGGTCGAAAAATATATCAATTTTATCTATAAATTTGTTAATAAATTTGTTAATAAGTATCTATAAATTTGTGTAATAAG